CTCCGGGTAAGTCCGATTTGAGAGAGTTGAGCATAGTGACCTTCAAGTTCGTAAGACAATGCAATTACCATCGATCGGTTACTTGCTCCAGTGGAGTTGACTGTTGTATTGACAGCGCCTCTTGAGGTGGGGTTCTGAGGAATTGCGAACTCTCTTGCATGTCCGAGCTCAGGATAAGCAGCTGCCGTGGTCTGGCCTCGTGCTTGCCGATCTTGATTGTTTGATGTCCCAGGTGCTCGACAATTCAGGGCACCTCCTCCCAGCACCCTCCGAGGCCCCAGGAGCGTGGAAAGACTTGTAGGTGAGGCAGGCCGCTTGTGGCCCGCAATCATGCAGAAGCCGCCCCCCTGCGATTCGGTGGCGGTGGCTGACAGGGTCACCGAGTCGTCGCCGGGAGGCCCGACCAGCCCCCCTCGCCTCGCGTACTCATGTTTGTCTTTCTCGTGTCTTGCCTGGCCGCCTTCCCCCCTTTTCTTTCCTCGCGCCTGCCTCGGGCTCCTCCTCCTGCGGTCTCTTCATGCGTCCACGGTCGTTTGCTGTGCTCGTTCGCTTCATCATGCCGCCGTGCGGGCATCCCCACGGTGATGCAATATTCTTCACGCTGTCCACGCCCAGGCGGCTCATGGCGCTCTCCATTTCTCATGCAGCCGTGGTGGGCCTCTCCCGTGGTCTCGCGTGTACCCTCCCCTGCCATCTATACCCAGATGGCCGATGCCGGCAAGTTCGCATCGGAAGCGCTGTTGAGGGCCTGGCCTTCGCCCGCGCTGTTCTAACTTTTGCGCTTTCTTCGCCCCGTCGCTGCGCGCGAGGTCGCTACGGCCAACAAAAACGCGTGTGTGCCCTCCCCTCCGTCCTTGGCCACCACCCAGGGCCTGTTGAGCCATGACATGCGTGTGCAGAGACACAGGTGTGAGGCGATAGTCCTTGCAGGTCCAATTGCGTCTTTGCAACACTTGTTTTGGCACGCGTGAGCGCGCATTTTACCCCTCACGAAGCGTGCATCTGGCCAGGATCGCAGGCGTGTAGCGACATGTATGCCGAGTGCGAGCCGCTCCCAGAGGAGGAAACCGATCGCTTGGATGTTTTATTGAGGGAAGGGTGGATGTGTCCTAGAAAGGTGGGCGCTCACATCCCCTCACCTCTCGCCATGTCCGCACGGAAGACGGGAAGTTGGCGGGTGTGCTGAGGTAGCCAGCCGATCACGAGGATGCTTGCTGAGGAATAGGGTTCAGAGCGTGGAGCTGATTAGTGGTGTATAGTTTGATACTTGAGACCCCCTCCTGGGAGCCTGAGAAGTAGTAGCAGGAGGAGGAGGAGGAGAAGGGAGCGGAAGGAGGGAAGGGGGAGGAGAGACTGGAGGGAGGAGCGGGAGCACGAACGAACGATGCTGCAATACACCCTTACGTCTCAAGTTCCCTCCGCACAGGCCCCTGCAACCCTTCCTGCTTACCGCAAGAAGCGACCCCTCAAAAGACCAGCACCCCTTTGGGCCTGCCATTCAGGCGAGGGCCCCGTTTCGAAATGGAACGGCCTCTCATCCTTTTGGCAAATCGGACGGATTGCGGAAAAGGTAACAGTTCAACGAGTATCCAGCGAGATCTCCGTTTGGAAAAAGACCGGCCCCATCTGTGTAACTCTTGTGCATTCGTGTGCACTTTTTTTTCATGTTTCTAATTTTAAAGCCTCAAGCCAAAACACCATATTGTAACAGGAGCCGTCCTCCAACCGTGTACTTGCTGGACACTTTTAAAACGAATGTGCGTGGTGCTCGGACGAGGGCCCCATTTTGGAAACGAACAGCTCTCCGTCCCTGAAGCTGTTGCAAACTTGTAGGACGAACGTGCGCGGCGCCAATGCGAAAGCCCAACTTAGAACACGACGGCCTCCATCCTTGTAACTGTTGCGAATTCCAAGCTGCGTGAACCATACTATGTGAAAAAATCTCAAGCGAAACGCCCGGCCCGCCCTGGCGACACGTCTGGGGGTGCGACAGGGAGGAATATCTTATAAGGCAGAAAAATGGAGGAGGGAGGGAGGGAGGGAGGGAGGGAGGAGGAGGGAGGAGGGAGGAGGAGGCGAGGAGGCCTCCCCCCCCGACGACTCGATGATCTCGAGCCTCGGGGCCACAGACCTGTCGGCACCTTCCCACAGGGCAAGTTCTTCACCCCGAGTCGTTCTGTTGATGGCCCCGCTGCCCGACAGCGGCCTCGAGAGGCCGAGCGCAGCCGAAAACCCTAGGTCCAACACTTCGGAACCTCTGGAGGTCGGAGGAGGAGGAGGATCGGCGGCGCGCCTAGTGGGGGAAGGCAGAGGGGGCGGACCTTCCCCGAGGGCTCAGAAGGCCGCTGGCCTTCTGAAAAACTTGCACAAGCCTTCTCCGAGGCCACGGAGGGCTTCTCAGAAGGCAATTGCTTCTGAGAGCTCCAGCCGCCTCGTGAGAAAGCCGTCCACCTCACGCTTGCCCCTTCGGCGCGCTGCCAAGAGGATGGGATGAGAGCCGACGAGGACTCGGGTGTACCCCAGAGGGGGCGGAGCCCAGGCGGGCAGGGGACAGCACGCGCTCGGGCGTGCTCCTCCAGAAACGGAGGGGTGGGGGCAAGGCGAGGAAGGGGATCATGCTGATGCTGATGCTAATGCTGCTGCTGATGATGAAGAAGCCGCCACCGATGATGATGCTGCTGCTGCTGATGATGATGAGGATGATGAAGGGGATGATGATGCTGATGAGGAGGAAAAATACGAGGAGGATGACGATGGGGGACGTATTATGCTTGGTTGTTGTGGTTCTTGTAGGTTTAATGTTTTTTGTTGTGAATGCCGACGTTGATGATGCTGCAGCTGCTGCTAATGATGATGCTTATGATGCTGATCCGCAAGACTATTTTGATGATTATGATGATGATGATGATGATGATGCTGATGATGATGATGATGATGAGGACGAGGATGACGATGGTGATGCTGATGACGACTACGATGCTGCTGCTGATCATGAGTATGCTGATGATGTTACTGATGATGACGATGACGATGATGATGCTGCTGATGATGCAGATGATGCTGATGATGATGCCGACGATGCTGATACTGATGATGATGATGATGCTGATGACGATGCTGATGATATGGTTGATGATGATGATGATGATGATGATGATGATGATGATGATGATGATGATGATGATGATGATGATGATGATGATGCTGATGATGCTGATGATGCTGATGATGCTGATGCTGCTGCTGCTGATGCTGATGATGGAGAGAGCGTGATCCACCGCCGCTTTACTGTGGAAAATTCCCCCCCCTCTTCCTCAGGAACCTGGGGTCCACCCCCCCCCTCCGAAAATCCCCCTCCCCTCCCCTCCCCCGGCAAAACCCCTCCCCCTCCACTAACCCCTCCCCCCCCCCCTCCCCCTCGAAAACCGGGGGGGGTCACTACCGGTTCGAACCCTCCCCCCCTCGAAAACCGGAGGGGGGTCACTACCGGTTTGAACCCCTCCCCACCTCCCCCCTCACCGCCAGCAAACGACTCCCGGTCCCTACCACCGTCCTCACCACATCCCCCACTGTTGTTCCCAGCACCACTGTCCTCACCACCACTGTCCCCACTGGTTCCACCACCGCCCCTACTGTCCCCACCAATGCCACCACCACTCCACTGTCGCACTGTCCCCACCGTCCCCACCACTGTTCCCACCACGGTTCCACTCTCCCTACTTTCTCCACGGCCCCAACCACTGCCCGACTATCCCCACTGTCCCCACTGTCCCACTGACTCCTCCGCTCTCCCGCTGAGCTGTCCCACTGTTCCCACCGCTGCCCCCACTGTCCCCACCACTGTCCCCACTGTACCTCTGTCCCATTGTCCCACCGCCGTCCTCGCCACCGCCTTCACCACTGTCCACACCACCACTGTACCCTCCACCACATTCCCACTGTCCCCACACCACTGTCCCCACCACCACCGTCCCCACCACTGTCCCACTGTCCCCACTGTTCCCACCATTGTCCTCACCACTGTCCCTACCACTACCGTCCCCACCACTGTCCCACTGTCCCCACCACCACCGTCCCCATGCACCACTGTCCGCACCCCCCCCGGTTTTCGAGGGGGGGGGGGGTTCGAACCGGTAATGACCCACACCCCCCCTTTTCATGATGTGATGGACTGGTGGTGGGGGGGGGGGGAGGGGTTCGAACCGGTAGTGACCCCCCACGGTTTTCCGAAAAGGGGGGGGGGAGGGGTTCGAAACGGTAGTGACCCCCCCCCGGTTTTCCGCCAGCAGCGGTAGAATACGCTCTTTCTGATGATGATGACGATGATGGCGGGCAGGAGAAGGAGGATGAGGAGGATGAGGAGGAAGAGGAGGAGGAGGAGGCGGAGGAGGAGGAGGGGGAGACGGATGGAGGAGGAAGGAGGAGGAGGAGGAGAAGGAGGAGGAGGAGGGGGAGGAGGAGAAGGAGGAGGAGAAGGAAGAGGAGGAGGAGGAGGAGAAGGAGGAGGAGGAGGAGGAGGAGGAGGAGGAGGAGGAGAGAGGAGGAGGAGAGGAGGAGGAGGAGGAGGGGAGGAGGAGGAGGAGGAGGAGGAGGAGGAGGAGGGAGGAGGAGGAGGAGGAGGGAGGAGGAGGAGGAGGAGGAGGAGGAGGAGGAGGAGGAGGAGGAGGAGGAGGAGGAGGGGAGGAGGAGGAGGAGGAGGAGGAGGAGGAGGAGGAGGAGGAGGAGGAGGAGGAGGAGGGAGGACGGGCAGGAGGAGGGAGGAGGATGCGGATGCCGACGATGTGGGAGGACGGAGGAATTAGCAGCAGTGGAGCGGAGTGTGCTACCAAATGGTCAGCGATGAAATGAAACCGCTCCCCGCGTGCCATGGCCGAAAATGACCAACGGTCGAAATCGACCTCCTCAGATGGGCATTATTCGCATAGTGTATTACGTGCCAATGTCGTCCGGCCAATGCCTCGGCTCTGGGTCGTCGTCCTCCATCCAGCGCGGCCGCTGTGTCAATCCTCTTCCGACCCCCAGTCCCCTTCCGCGAAGCGCTGCTGAGCCTCCCCACCTGGCACCTCGACTCCCTTTGGAGGACGCCAGTTGTACAGCGACGCCGATCCTGGCCAGGCACCTCCTGGGCCCAAGGTCGGTGTACATACATACGCCTTCCTGGTCTGGCCAAGGATGCGTACATGGACCAGTCCTGGGCGCAGGACTGGCCTGGCCAAGGCCAATTGAGGTGCACACCCGGACATCCGCCGATCTGACTTTGTCTATCCGTGGTTCCCAGGCCTCCCGACCTCTTCCCCCGGGACAGTTTCACGCCCCGGATTCACTTTTGATGGCCCCAGGTCCCGAGAACGGGCCCCAGGGGGCCGAAATGAAGTAAAACGACTGGACTCCAGAAAACTGAGAGAAACCTCTGTCTCGATTTTACGAAACGTCAGATGTTCGTAGAGAACTGAAAACCGGCATAAGCATTCGTAAACGTTCGGAGGTCCGTGCGTATTTCTGGGGTCGGCACTGGGCCCTCATCCCTGGCGCGCGGAGCGCGCCAGTGGCGGCGCCAGAGGCGCCGCCAGGGAGGCCCAGCGCCGACCCAAGAAATCCGAGTATCTGTTATGCCGTCTTCTGAAGGCCTCCTAGATCGAGTCCGAGTAGCTGGGGTCGGAGGATCACGCCGCATCTCCGATGCATCCCCGATGCATCGCCGATGCATCGGCGATGCATCGTCGGTGCCTCGGCGACGTCGATGCATCGCCGACGTCGGCGTGGAGAACATCGGGCTCCACATCGAGCCGCATCGCCGATGCATAGGCGATGAGGCGAGATCCTATGACCCCATCTGCTCGGACCCCGTCTGAGCGTCGAACACAAACGGGTCTCACGCAACATGACATAGCCACCTTCCGCCGCGGCTTACGCGGCCCGCCAGCACGAAACGAGGGCGCTTACGCGCCGTCTTGCGCAGGCAGCTGACGCGCGAATGTCCGCACAAGCAGGCCCGTTTTTCGGCGTAGCTCATCTGGGAGGCCCATTAGGTGCATCCAACTGGCGCCCTCCGAGACGCCTCGAACCCGGGGAAATCCGCGAGCGGCAATCCCGCGGGCGCCATCATCACGGGCACGCCGTCCGCGGGGCCTGGAGGCGCGAGCACCAGCACGTGCCCGGGTGGCAGGGCTGCGCCGTCCACCTGGGGAGGAAGCATGTTACTGGGGAGCCCAGACGGTGCCGGTACTGCTGCTCCCCGGGCCTCTCCCAGGGTGCGCCCTGACCAGAGCTTCGAGGCGAATCCAGCGGTGGCGACGAGGGCCTCCCACGGGAGGGCGAACGAGAAGGGACAACGGGCGAAGGGTAGCGGTAGGGGTACGTCTTCCTCCTCCGAGTTACAGGGTCAGGAGCTTTTGCTGAGCTTGTCGCGGCGGCGGCGGCCTGAGCGTTTTTTGTTTTTCTTCTTTATTTGTTGGTTGCTTTTTTGTGTGGTGGGGGAGGCGGCGGTGGCCTAAGTGTGCTCCACCGCCCTCGGCCTCATCCTCCGTCCGCGCCCTGTCTCCCTCTGCCCTGCCCAGAGAATCTCCGATGCGTCCCTCGGCTGTCCCGACCGCGTCTTGGATCCACATCCCCCTCGAAATCAAACGCAGATTTTTCCCAACCACGCGGCGACGCCCCTGGGCCCTCGATTTCAATGTTGACGCCGAAACTGGCGACTGCAATATTTTTGTTGCCCCCGCGGGCTGCGCTGCGCGCGCCCGTCAACATTGAAATCGGGGAGCCAGGGGGTTGGATCACACTGTGTCTGATTTCGAGGATGGGGTGCGGGTCGCCGCAGACGAACAAGCATCGCGGCGGCGGCCATAGCGAACCGCCATGAACCGCGAGCGGATAGCGTGTCGCTCCGCTCCGTGGGGAGGGGGAGGCTGGGAAAAGCTCGGGACGCTGACGCCTGGTGGACTGGGGCGTGGGTAGTGTGTCGCGCCGAAGCGTGGTGGGCCAGAATCGGCGGCACGACACGCTAAGCCAGAGTTCCTGACCGTAGGCTCCTGAGGATCGAGGCTGCCTTCGAGGGCTTCGAGGCTCGAAGGCTTCGAGATCTAATGTTTTTTGGCGTCTTTGTCGGTTCTCGTCAGCCTTGTGACCCTGGGGTGCTTCCCAATAGCTGCGCCGCGCCGAGAGCGTTCCGGGGGTGCCCAGATCGTCTCGATTCGCCGCTTGAGACCAAAATCATGACCCGAAAAGTGATCAACGAAGATCACTTGGGGGGATGGGCTCAGGGGGGGGATGCATCGACCCCGTTCGGTCATTCATCGCCGATGGGGGCCCCATAGCCCACCCGGCCCAGGAGCATACGGATTCGCGATCGGGGGCTAATCGCCGATCGACCGGCGATCTATCGTCGATTGCAGGCCGATGTCTCGCCCCCTGAGCCAGTCCCCCTACCTGTTGGTCGGAAAAAAGTAGGTAGAACCATGAAGTAGGAAGGCGAATAAAGTAGATTGGGTTCAGGCCCTCACAGATAAAAACAAAACACAGCAAAAGCATATCGGCTCTCGCAGCAGGAAGGCGCTTGAAGTAGATTGGGATCTGGGGATCCAGAAATACCGACTTTCAACGACCAGCGTGCAAGGTTGCCCCTCACACCTGCGGCAGGACACCGCCGGACAGCGCCGCGAACCCGTCCGCGGGCAGCACGCAGGGCACCAGGACGGTTGCCCCGACCTCGGGGGGGGGGGGCAAGCCACACCCCCTTCCCTCGTTTTCCCTGTCTTGGGCCTCCTGGGAGGCCCTCGTCGCCACGGCTGGGCTCGCCTCGAGATGCTGGCCCGGACGCGCCCTGGGAGAGGTCCGGGGAGCAGCGGCGTCGGTATCCCTTGCTCCCCCCACGGCCGGGCAGTCGTCCGAGGGCATGTACACGCAGTCCGCGAAGTCGGGCACGAACTCGGGCGCCTCCGCGCGCATCTCCCTGGGCCGGAAGTCCTCCTCCTCCTCCGCCCCCCTGGCGCCGCTCAGGCCCGCGGGGTCCCAGGAGCACGGCTCCGCGGCCCGAGTGGGCGCCGCCACCACGGCCGCCCAGCTCGGGCTGTCCGCGGCCGCGCCCGACGCGGCCGAGAGCTTCCTCGCCGCTGGCCCCGCTGGCCGCGAAGCCGCCAACGCTGGCTTCGGGGCGGCGCCGCCCCGGCCGCCTCCGGGGCCCGCCAACTTCTGCGAGGGCGGCGTCGGCGGCTGCGCGGCTCTCGTGGGCCGGCCCGCGCGCCGGGCGGCCACCAGGCTCCACCGCTCCGCCTCGGGCTCCCTGGGGGCCGCGGCCCCCAGGGCGTCGTGAGAGGGCGCCGCGTCCTGGCACAGGGCGCCGTCCAGCTGGCCCTGGAGCCCCTCGAGCTCGGCCAGCAGCCGGCTCAGCTCCTCCGCGGGCACCGCGCCGCCCTTGGCCCCGCGCGCCTCCTGCAGGTGCCCAGAGAGGGCGCCCGTCGCCCGGCGCAAGCCGCTGCCCACGGTCCGGGCTGCCTGCCGCAGCCTGGCGAGCTCGGAGTCGACCTCCTGCGCAGCAGTGCTGGCGCTGTTGGTGCCGCCGGCCGCGTTGGCCTGCGTGACGGGCTCTGGATCTGTCCACGCCACGTGCGCGCCGCGGTCCGCCTCCTGGCCCGCCCCCAGCACCTCAGCGCCCGCCTGGGCCTCCTCCCTGGGCTCCTCCTGGGCCTCGTCGGGGTGCTCCTCCGCGTCCTCATTCAGCTCCCCCTCCTCCTCGTCGGCCTCCTCGCCCAGCTCCTCGTCGGCCTCCTCGCTGGCCGCCTGCTCCAGCGCGGTGTCGCCGAAGATGGCCTCTGCCGAAGACGATGGCAATGACGGCTCGGGCTCCACGGCCGGCTCCACCTCGACCTCTGGAGTGAGCAGGTCCGCGCGAGAGCAGCCTTCGCCACCTGGTCTGCGCCCTCCGCGGCTGCCAGCGGCCTCCTTGCCCTCGGGCACTGGCGCTTCCGCCCTCTGGCGCTCGGCGGGCAGCTTCTGCTGAGGCTGCCTGGGCCGCTGGTCGACGGCGGCCGTCGGCTTCGAGAGCAGCTGTTTGTCCTGCGGCGTGGGCCCACTGCCCTTGCGGTGCCTCGGCCCCTCTGCTCGCTTGGCCGCCTCCTTCGCTGCCTCGGCCGGTGGTGGCGCAGCGCCCCTGCAGCGCGGGCCGGCGCCCATGAGGTCGCTGAGGAAGCTCTCCTGTGCTGCGTCGTCGGCGAGAGGGTCCCTCGGAGCTGTCTGCGGCCGTCGACGGTATTCTGACCACCACTCCTCTGCCGCCTCCATCCAAGCGGTGATCGTTCCGTACTGGAACTCGCAGAACGCGAGCATGGCCGCAAACAGCCACGTTCCAAAGCCCAGGCCCTGGAAGAAGGCGCCCCACTGGAATATCGGGACCTTGTTCTGAGCCCACTGTGCCTCCAGACTCGAGTACTGGGAAAGATGCTGCTGGTACTGCTGGAGGTAATACTGCCTATAGTGGGAGTAGTGCGGGCTTCTCTTCGGCACAGGGATGTTCCCAATCTGGTCTTGGACCTGCTGGTAGAAGACCTCCGGTGACACCATCGACATCTGTGGGGCCGCGCAGAAGCCGTACACGACGCAACCGACGAGCCACACGGCCAGTGCGAGCAGCAGGGGCCCCGAGGTGCCGGGCGTGGTGAAGAAGCTGTACCAGGAGAGGCCGCCCGTGCAGCTTGTGAGCTGAATGCTCTGGGCGCACGAGCCGTCCGTCTGCACCCACTGCGCGAACTGGCGGGCGCCGATCCCCACGGGGATCGGGTTCTCGGAGGCCTCGCGGGCGCTGACGAGGTCCATGCGCACGCCGCCGCAAAGGAGGCCCGCCCTGCTCCCGCGGCCGCAGGAGGCGCAAGGCCCGCCCGGCACCTCGATGCGGAAGATGCCGTCGTCGCCGCGAGGCAGGCCGCCTCGCTTGCAGCTGAGGCGCAGCGATCTCGCCGCAGCCCGAGGCTCTCGCTTGTCGGCCAGGAACGGTGCCATCTGCACGTCCGCCTGCACGCTGTGGCCGCAAGAGTACTCTACGGTGATCTCCGCGCAGCGCTGGCGTCTGATCACGTCGCCGAGGATCGTGCAAAGCTCACGGGAAGACATGCCAGGTGTTTAAAACTGGAGCGGCTCGCTCACAACCTGAGCGCAGTGCAAATCCTGTCAGCAGACCTACGTGTTCGGCAAGGTGCGACCGCGTGGCAGCGGGGGCTGGCGCTGTACAAGGTGGAACTCCGCCCCTCGAGCCAAAAACGCATCGTGGAAGAACGGATGGGGCAAGGAAGGCCCACCCGGGCCACCGAGATGTGATCAGTCCAAAAATGCTCATGAATTTTGAGGCAGGCAATCGTCGTGATGACTTCGGCGTTGGTGTCTGACACCGCATGGAGCCTTCAGCTTTGAGCGATGGCGGCTTCCCGACAGAGCAGATCGTTCGGTATCAACCGGTTCTGGGCCACTGGCGGCGTTCAACCTTGAACGCCCATGTCAGGGCCACCGCCGCGTCGGCACGACACGAGCCTGTTTGTTCGTCCACGATGCACAGGCCCCCGTATTGCTCAAGAAGGGGCTGGAGCGATGGTTACTGAGGAGGTCCGGGGGTTTGGGCGGATGCGGATGATGAGAAGGACCCTCCCCCCTGGCCGTCCAGAAATCACTGAATCCCCGCGGGGTCTCAGATTCCATGCGTCCTCGCAAATGGCACCCGAAGCCGTCAACCCTTGTTGTTCGATCATGTATTCAGGAGCAACATTTTCTCTTTTAGAGCTGGGCGCCCTGGCACAGCTGTAGGAAAATGACCATGTGGGTGAAGAGAAGCTACAACCTTACACAATGATAGGTCTCATTGTGTTTAGAATTTTTAGACTTTGATTCCAACTTGGTTTTCAACGGTCTCGGGCCTCAGGCCATCCCCGACCAATCGATTTCCTTTCGGTGCACCTCAATGCAACCCCGTAAGCGCCCCAATAAGCCTCGAGATAAACCGTACACTTGATTGCCTCCCCCTCATGAGATCCCATTTGAGGGGCCAGTGCGCCCTCCCCCCCAATCGCCCCCCCCTTTCCTCGCCCCCCCGCGCAAGAGCAGCCAAGATGGCACCAGCAGACCCCGAGAAGCCAAGCATCGTCTGCTCCCAAGACGGCCCTAATAACTTAGACGTGCCAGTACGGTACGACGAGGCCCCCAAGACTGTCCAAGCGGCCCCGAGTCGGCCAAAGAGGCCATCAAAACGCCCCCAAATTGCCTCAAAACGGCCCTGGAGGCCCCCAATCTCCACAAAGGAACCCCCAAGTGGTAAACACACATTGGTGTTCCGTATGTTTGGAAGCTTCTTCGCGTTCTCACTGTGTCGGGCTTGCAGCGCTCCAATATTGCCCGAGAAGCCCCATATATCGCCCCGAGAAGCTCCCACGAGAATTCCGAGGCGGCCCACGAGGGCCCTAGGACAGCCCAGGAGTCCCCCTAGAGGGCCCCGAGAGGCCCCCACGAGAGCCCCAAGCGGAGCCTGGAGAGCATGAGGATGAGAATGAGCACGAGGGAGGCGGGAGCAGGGAAGCGGGAAACGCCTGAGGATGAGGTGTTTGTGGTCCATGCCTTGGCGGCGCGCAGAAAGGGGGGTACGGGGGAGTGGGGAAGGCTTCTGGAAGGAGGCAATTTCTCAGGACGCGCGGCCCTTAGATCTACCGACAAGGCCCGCGCCTTCGAAGAAGCAGCCTCCTTCTAAGAAGCCTTCCCCCCTCCCCCGTACCCCCCCTCTGCGCGTGGCTGAATGTTATGACTGTGCCCATGCCCGTCATTCTGCCTCTCTCTTGTGTGACCGCTGTGCGGCTACGGCGTATTATGCCTGGGAGTTCTTTCCCGACGCGTGAGCGCCAGAGCGGTGACTGTCTTTTGCCGCCCAAGCTGCAGAAACAGCTCCACGGACTGCCGCCGCCGCTATATTGCCACGCGCAAGGATATGCCGAGGAGCCGAAGACACCCAGACACACAGACTTCAGGCTAGCCCTGAGAGATGCCGAAAGCGGTTCAGGTCAGGCCAAGATGGCCCCATGAGGGTTGAGGAGGCCTTCCAAAGGAGCCCAATGCGAGCCAGGAAGGCTTCCAGGGAGCCCTGAACGCCCCTGCAACTGACCCAACGAAAAGACAGTTGCACAGAAGTTCCGAGAAGGCCCCGCCCGCAGTGGTGGCGCACTCGACCACAGCTGCGGCTCGGTCTTCGGGCCCCGTGTGCTCCAGCCCCTTTGAAGACTTGGACGAGGCGGCTACTGTACACCACGACCACCACCCCTGAGATCTGACGACGCGGAGCCTTAGACCCAATCTTTCTGCAGCACTTTTTGAACCGGATCGACCTATGACTGGTGAGGGTCCCCAGGTCCGAAATCTTGCGAATACGCCCGGCTCGAGAAAGTTGCGAGGCCACGATCTCAAGGTCTTAGCCGCCCCCAAGATCTCCCCAAGACATCCTGCGCTCCAACTTCGGATGTTCTGACCATTCCCCTTCGGGTTGGCTCTGCATCCCGAACTAGCTCTGACGGCCCGGGGCCCGTGACAAGCCCCTCAAGCCGAACAGGCCCAAAACTGGCCGCTCCAATTATCGGGCGTTGGCAAGACTGGGTTCAGTGGCACCTGGTATCTAGTTCTGTGTACGGGGGGACGCCCCCCCCCGCAGCCACATTTCACGAACCAAAACTGCCGTCACCCGAAAAACACCAGCTCCGGCAGACCTGGTTCAATGATCCCGGCCAATTTCGGGGGCCTCGAGGAGCCCGATCACCAACCGGCTCCCTTTGCCCGGGGCCCTGGCCGTGGCCGACGTTCGCTCAGGGCCTCTTGGGGCCTCTCGCGCAGCGCGTCCGAAGGCCGCCCGGGCCCGCGGCCACGGCGCCCGTCGACGGGTCGAGCGTGAGCCCCGCCGGCAGCGGCGGCGCGCACGACCACAGCCTCGGCGGGCCACCGCCCGCCCGGGGCAGGAAGGCCACGGGCTCGCCCACCTCGGTGGCGGGGGGGGAGGCCCCACCCGCAGGCAGCGGGCGCGGCAGCACCAGAAGCAAAAGGACTCGGCAGAGTGTGCGGAGGGCTCGTGCGGCGTCGGCGCGCCCAAAGACTCTCGGCACCGCCTCGATCGCCCAACCTTGAACCGATCGCGGCCCAGATCTTTCAAGGTTGCATTCCGTCGGGTCGTGTGGCGCTGGCGTGTCCCTCGGCTTCTTAAGTCGCGTCACTCCATTATGCGGAGCTCAACCTCGAACGCCTTCGCCGGCGTCGCCGGCGCATCATCGCCGCATGAACCTACTGAGGATTTTGCAATGAAAGGGGGGTGGTCTCTGATTTGGGAGCGGGTCTGATTGGAGCTGTCTTGGCGGGCTCCAGCAAGAGGCCGCCCTTTCATGGCTGCTATGGGTGGGGTCTGAACTGGCCCGTCTGGGAGGTTTGTAACCCCCACCCCTGTATCATGAATGTCGGATTGCCGTACCCCGCCCTGGTGATGACAGCGCCCTACCTAGACCCCCTCGGGTCATGAACAAAATGCGACGGAAGGGCTTTCCTGATTTTCAGCCTTTGGGGGCCCTTTACCGCGCCTCGGGGCCGTCAAACATCGGCTCGGGACGAAAAGCAGACCTCGGGGAACGGGCCTGGACCCTTGGGGGGTCGACGTTTCGGAAACACCGTGGCGTCGGGGGTCTGGGTCGGCCACGGGCTCGCCCACCGCGGCTGCGGGGAGGCCCCGCCCGCAGACCCGTGCACCGAACAACTCCTTCCCAGACGCCCTCGCGCCGTCGTGGCAACATTTTTTTTTTTTTTTTTTTTTTTTTTTTGATTTTCGGCCTCTTGGGGCCCTCGCCGGGCCCTGTGACCTTCAAAAAACGACTCAAGATGAGAAACCAATCCCGGGGAATGGGTCGAGACCTCTGGGGGTGAACGACTCAGGGTGAAAAGCCGGCCCCAGGGAAGGGGTCGTGTTACCCCGGGGGGCTGACGTTACGAAAAAAATGCGACGTCGGAGGAGAGAGCATGGCTTCGGATGGGTCGACATCTCTCAGTCCCGGCGTGCCGTCCCTCCGTTCCGCCTTCCAGCGGGCCGTTTTTTGTGGGCCCCCCCTGGGGCATCAACATGTGGGTGGCGAAATTGAACGGGTCTTTATGACATGAGATGACACGCAGACCTGGCGCGGCGGTTTACGGAGGCCGTCAACGCGGCACACAACGTAGAGAAGAGGGCGATTACGCGCGACCCTACGCGGGCAGCTTACGCACCAATGTCGGTGAAGACGATACCGTTTTCTGCGTCGCTCATTTGGATCCAGGACGGAAAGCTGCCCCCTGGGACGGGGTCGAGAGCTCGGGGGGCCAGCGGGATGGGAAGGATCAATCCATCGGCTGTCTCAGAGGGTGGGGGATCGGGGATCGAGGAGGATCGGTGGTATGTTTGCTGTTGTTGCTGCTGCTACGGCCGCTGCTGCTGCTGCTGCAAATGCCAACCTCTTGGAAGCCCGTTTCGGGCCCCAGGACAATCCAACATCGGGGAGGAGAGGGGAAGGAAGGGAGAGGAGCACTTTCCTTTCTCTCTATCTCTCTCTCGCTCTTTCAGGTACTGCGTGACGAGCGTACACTCCGAGCCTTGGGCTTACTTCTCTTGTCTATCTTTCATGCTCATTTCCCTCATCCTCACGCTCGCCTCACATCATGTGCTGCACACTTCGCCTAAGTCGGCATTGTAACGCTCTTCTTTGCCAGAGGAGCTCTGCGGTCTTGCACCTGGAGTTCGCGCAGCATAAAAAAGGGAGAGGGGCAAGGGATGACGACGTGGTGATCCCGCCCTGGCACCGCCCGAGTCCAGGCCGGGCCTTTCCACGCCCCCCTGCCAGGCACCCCACTGACGGGTACTACTCTGGCCAGCGACCCCGCGACGGCAGCCATTCCCGATGCGGGGAGCGCCGCAGGGCCCGAGAGAGGCTCCCAAACGGCAATTCCTGGCGGTGTTCCAAAGTACTTCTCTGTGCATGCAATTCTTTTTTCCCAACCATCCTGTGGTGTTGGGTCCTCGTTTTGAAGAAACGGTCCCCGCGTTCTCCTTCCTCCCGCTGCCCCCTCCTCCGTGCTGCCGCCCGCATGCGTCACGCACACCCAATTCGGCACACCCCTCACACGTTTCGTGGCCCCATAGGGAGCTCCACCGAAGGCCCCAGTGCTGCCGCCCGCATGCGTCACGCACACCCAATTCGGCACACCCCTCACACGTTTCGTGGCCCCATAGGGAGCTCCACCGAAGGCCCCAGTGCTGCCGCCCGCATGCGTCACGCACACCCATTTCGGCACACCCCTCACACGTTTCGTGGCCCCATAGGGAGCTCCGCCCCCAGAATGCGTCCCCAGCGCTGCCGCTCCGCATGCGCCACGTCACGCACACCCAATTCGGCACACCCCTCACACGTTTCGTGGCCCCATAGGGAGAGCTCCACCGAAGGCCCCAGTGCTGCCGCCCGCATGCGTCACGCACACCCACCACCCCTCAATTCGTGCACACCCCTCACACGGCACACCCCTCACACGTTTCGTGGCCCCATAGGGAGCTCCACCGAAGGCCCCAGTGCTGCCGCCCGCATGCGTCCCGCACACCCATTTCGGCACACCCCTCACACGTTTCGTGGCCCCATAGGGAGCTCCACCGAAGGCCCCAGTGCTGCCGCCCGCATGCGTCACGCACACCCAATTCGGCACACCCCTCACACGTTTCGTGGCCCCATAGGGAGCTCCACCGAAGGCCCCAGTGCTGCCGCCGCATGCGTCCCGCACACCCATTTCGGCACACCCCTCACACGTTTCGTGGCCCCATAGGGAGCTCCACCGAAGGCCCCAGTGCTGCCGTCCGCATGCGTCCACGCACACCCATTTCGGCACACCCCTCACACGTTTCGTGGCCCATAGGGAGCTCCACCGAAGGCCCCAGTGCTGCCGCCCGCATGCGTCACCGCACACCCAATTCGGCACACCCCTCACACGTTTCGTGGCCCCATAGGGAGCTCCACCGAAGGCCCCAGTGCTGCCGCCCGCATGCGTCCCGCACACCCAATTCGGCACACCCCTCACACGTTTCGTGGCCCCATAGGGAGCCCCACCGAAGGCCCCAGTGCTGCCGCCCGCATGCGTCCCGCACACCCAATTCGGCACACCCCTCACACGTTTCGTGGCCCCATAGGGGCTCCGCCGAAGGCCCCAGTGCTGCCGCCCGCATGCGTCCCGCACACCCAATTTCGGCACACCCCTCACACGTTTCGTGGCCCCATATAGGAGTTCACCGAAGGCCCCAGCGGCCGCGCTCACATGCGTCCCCGCCACCCACACCCATCCCGGCACGCCCCTCACAACAACAGGTTTCGTGGCCCCATAGGGAGCTCCACCGAAGGCCCCAGTGGCACCGCCCGCATGCGTCACCACCCGCACCCAATTCGGCACACCCCTCACACGTTTCGTGGCCCCGTAGGGAGCTGCACCGAAGGCCCCAGTGGCGGCGCTCACATGCGTCCCCGCCACGCATCCCAGTACACCCCTCACGCGCTTCGTGGCTCGATAGGGAGCTCCACCGAAGGCCCCAGTACCGGCGCTTACATGCGTCTCCGCCACCCATCCCGGCCCCCCCCCGCAGCAGCATCATGTTTCGGGGACCCATAGGGAGCTCCACTGGAGGCCCCAGTGGCGGCCCTCACATGCGTTTCCGCCACCCATGTCGGCACGCCCCGCGCGTCTTTCATGTCCCCATAGGGAGCTTCACCGAATGCCCCAGTGGCACCCATCTCGGCACACCCCTCACACGTTCCGTGGTCCTATGGGGAGTTCCTTTGAAGATGAAACCCGCAGCTGCGGTACTGACAACTGCATCTGGTTGGGTTCTTCGCCAGGCTAATTTTGGGGGGGGAGGAGCAGGAGATGGGAGCGGACAACCACAGCACACACAACTCGCCTCGCCAACCGTGCTGGCGCCTATCACGCTCGTCGCAGGGCTGCCCTTCAAACGTGGCCAAAACTCCTGCCAGGGACAAAACTCCAGCCAGGGATCTCCAGAGGGCGCCCCCTGCAGTCTGACCCCCCCCCCGTGGGGCCCGTGGCACCGCTTGGCGTGACAGAGAAGCGGGTCCCGAGAGAAACGGGTCCTGGGCCCCGGAGCCAACTCTTCCTCCGGAGCCGTCTCTTGACGGTCCTGGAGCCTGGGGAGGGCCCACTGGAGGCCGCAAACGTCGAAGAACCTCAGGGCCCGTTTCCATCGGCACCCGCTCCCGGAGATTCGACGACGCAGAAAACATGCAACACTGCAAGAAATCACGGCTGGAGCCCTGGACCCCATCCAACGGGGTCATTCTTCGAGCCGGATCGATCTGTGAGGGTCCTGTGGCCCAGAATCGTGCAAAAACGCCCAGCTCAAAACAATGGCGACGCCGAGGTCTCAAGGCCTTGGCCGCCCCCGAAGACCCGCAAGGCATCTGGTGTTCAATTTTTTCCGATGCGTGGACTTCAGAAGGCTTGGACCACTCGCCCACAGGGCCAGCTCATACCGAGTCATCTCTTGATGGCCCCAGGGCCCGTGGAAGGCCCCTGGGGGTCGAAAATGGCCCCATACCAGCCGCTTCGATCTGCTCGGAGCCTTGGACCTCTGGGCCGCCAGGACCTCAAAGCTTGCGACGCCAAGATCTCACAGTTTGCTCCATGGCGACCCCAGCCGAGCCCCGCGCGTACACGACCGACCGGAGGTCCGGGTACGTGACGGGCCCCGGCGGCCGCGGCGCCACCGCGAAGGTCAGCTCGGTCCTGCCAGGCGCAGAAGAAAGCCCAGCGGCGCGGCGGCATGCGCTGAGGGGCCGCGATATCGGGGGCCGCATAGCACAAGCACACGATGCCCGCCCACTGGCAAGGGGAGTTCGACAGAGCATCAGAGCCACTTCCCCTCGTGAGGGCTGTCCGCACTCATGTTGAATGCAAGCTCGAGGTCGATAGCGGCAAGGCGATGGCTGGCCGTGTAGAAATCACAACAATCAGGGAAGAGGGTGAGGAGGGCGAGCCGGAGGAAGGAGGAGGGGGGTAGAGAGGCGGAGAAGCAATCCAAATACCTGAAGGAGCGCTCAGGCCAACCTGCGATAAGCGAGCCCGAGCGCGCAACACAACGATAAGGGGGGACTGGCTCAGAGGGGGGAACGTCGACCTGGAATCGGCAATACATCGCCAATAGATCGGCGATAGGCCCCCATAGCGAATCCGTACGCTCCCTGGCGGGGTGGGGCCATCAAACCCCTTCGGCGATCAATGGGCGATTGGGGGCCGATGCGATCCCCGCTGATGCGCTGGCTGTGCGCGCTCCAAACACCATAGATGTGCCAGTTTTCCACCAACGCTACCATAGGCAGGACGGGGGAGAAGGGAGGATGGGGCGGTCCACCTCCTTCTCCTCCTCCTCCTCTTCCTCCTCCTCCTCCTCCTCCGCCTCCCTCCTCCTCCGCCTCCTCCTCCTCCTCCTCCTCCACCTCCTCCTCCTCCTCCTCCTCCTCCTCCTCCTCCCCTCTCCTACCTCGTAACGGTGGAACATTGGCCCATCAGCCCTCGCGCGCCCTCGACTCTCGCCCGCGGCCCCCGGGGCCGTCTGTTCGACTTCCTGTGGGAGCGGAGGCGCAGGGCCCTGGCGCGCGGCTGGCTTCAGGCCTCCGAAGGATGGGCTTTCTTTTCGATGCATCCCCACCTCCTCCTATTCTTCCTCCTCCTCCTCCTCCTCCTCCTCCATCCCCACGTTCTCTTCCTCATCGCCTCATCTTGCCACTCCTCCTCCCTTCTCCTCTCCTCCTCCTTCTCCCTCCCTCCTCTCTCCTCCTCCTCCTCTTCTCCCACCTCCTCCTCTTCCTCCTCTTCCTCCTCCTCGTTGTCTCCTTCTCTCTTCCTCCTTTTCCTCCTCCTCATCCTCCTACTCGTCCTCCTCCTCCTCCTCCTCCTCCCTACTCCTCTTCTCTCCCACCTCCTCCTTCTTCTCCTTCTTCTTCCTTCTCCTCTCAACCTCACTCCTCGTCGGTCGAGGTCGTTCCTCTTCTTCTCCTCATCCTCCTCTTCCTCCTCCTCCCTTCTCCTCCCCTCTCCTCCTCCTACTTCTCCTCTCTATCCTCCCTCCTCCCTCCTCCTCCTCCCTCCTCCCTCTCTCTCCGACCCTCATCCCTCTCCCTCCTCCCTCCTCTCTCTCCTCCTCCCTCCTCTCCTCCTCCTTCCTCCTCCCTCTCCCTCTTCCCTCCTCCTCCCTCCTCCTCCCTCCTCTTCCTCTTCCTCTTCCTCCTCCTCCTCCTCCCTCGAGCCTGGCGGTGCCCACGCTGTTCTGGGCGGAGACCACGTACGTCTTCGCCGGGATCTCCACGCCAGGCTGCAGCTGGCCAGAGATCTCGCCTCGGCGGCTGCAGCTCCAGGAGGAGGCGGAGGAAGAGGAGGACGAGGAAGAGGAGGGGGATGAGGAGAAGGAGGACGAGGAGGAGGAGGAGGAGAAGGAAGAGGAGGGAGAGGAGCAGGAGGAGGAGGAGGAGGAGGAAGAGGAGGAGGACAAGGAGCAGGAGCAGAAGGAGGAGGAGGAGGAGGAGAAAGGGGAGGAGGAGGAGGTGGAGAAAGCGGGGGAGGATGAGGAGGAGGAGGACGGGAGGAGGGGAGAGGAGGAGAGGGAGGAGGAGGAGGTGGAGGAGGAGGAGGAGGAGGAGGAGGAGGAAGAGGAGAAGGCGAATGAGGAGGAGGAAGAGGAGGTGAACGATGAGAAGGAAGAGGAGGAGGCGGAATGATGAGGAGGAGAAGAACGAGGAGGAGTGGAGGAAGCATGAGGAGGAGGAGGACACCGAGGAGGAGGAGGATGATGAGGAGGAGGAGGAGGGGGATGAGGAGGAGAAAAAAGAGGATGAAGAGGAGGAGCAGGAGGAGAAATGGAAGGAGGAGGAGGAGGAGGGGGAGGAGGAGGAGGAGGGGGAGGAGGAGAAGGAGGAGAAGGACAATAACGAGGAGGAGGAGGAGAGGAAGGAGGAGGAGGGAGGAGGGAAGAGGGTGGAGAAGGAGGAGGTGACGGAGGAGGAAGACACAGAGATAGTAGTAGTAGTAGTCGTAGTCGTAGTCGTAGTAGTAGTAGTAGTAGTAGTAGTAGTAGTAGTAGTAGTAGTAGTAGTAGTAGTAGTAGT